ACCAGGCACTGTATTAGGTGCTGAGATACATCGATGAATGAGAAAGACAAAGATTTCTGCCCTAGTGAAGCTAACATCCTGTTAGAGGAAGACAGACCAAGAAAACAAAATAAGTCAATTATATATGACTAGAGGCCCGATGCACAAAATTTGTGTACTGGAGGGGGGGCGGCTCCCCTCAGCCCAGCCTGCAATCTCTCCAATCTGGGACCCCTTGGGGCAGTTGGGGTCAACCAGGCCAGCAGGGGGGCAGTTGGGGGTGACCAGGCCGGCAAGGGGGGCAGTAAGGGGAGACCAGGCCAACAGGGAGGGGCAGTTGGGGGCAACCAGGTTCATGTGGGGGGGGGCAGTTGGGGGTGCCAGGCCAGTAGGGGGGGCAGTTAGGGGAGATCAGATTGGCAGGCAGAGGTGGTTAGGGATGATCAGGCTGGCAGGGGGGCCAGTTAGGGGCGATCAGGCAGGCAGGCAGACATCCCTCTCACAATCCAGGCCTGCTGGCTCCTAACTGGCCCCCCTGCCAGCCTGATCACCCCTAACTGCTTCTGCCTGACAATCTGATCGCCCCTAACTGCCCCCCCCCCCCCCGCCAGCCTGGTTGCCCCCAACTGCCCATCCCCGCTGGCCTGGTTGCCCCTAACTGCTCTCCCCTCACCAGCATGGTCACCACTTACTGCCCTCCCCCCCCCTCCCCCCCCCCCCCCCCCCCACTGGCCTGGTTGCCCCTCACTAACCCCCCAGCTGGCCTTGTTGCCCCACTCAGTCTGTTTGGTTGGCTCCTGGCTCTTTATATATAGAGATTTGGGGTAAAAATTAAAAGTACAACAGAGTAGAGGAGACTTTAAGTAGTAGTCAGGAAAGGCCCCATGGAGAAAGATTTTGAGAACATAAAGAAAGGAAAGATGTAGATAACTGGGGGCTAAGAGTGGCCTAGGGAGAAGAAACAGCAAGTGCAAAGGTCCTGGGGCCAGAACAAGAGTTTGAACTAACCATTCTACCAAAAGGAGATGAGTATAGCTGGAGCAGTAGGAGAGAGGGGAGTCAGAGAGAGAGATCTGGGGTTCAGATTTTTAGAGCTTTTTGGCCTACTGTGAGGACTTTGGCTTGTATTCAGAGTGAGCTAGGAATTGTGGGAAGTTGTTAAGCCCCTATAACAAGGTCTATTGAAATGCTTTGTAAGTACAGAATCTTCCAGAAGTCTGGGTGCACTTTTAAGTTCTAATAACCTTGGAAGTCAACATACCACACACTTAACCAAAGACATCATTTAGAGGTTTGGTAAATTACATTGCTTTGATGTTTATGTAGTTTTGTGAATTTTGATTAATATGTTTTTATTTTAATTTTGTAACATCAGCGCTTTACCACCTTCACTCAGAGGGACAAAAACAAAGGATTCAAATTTAAAATGTGGTATTCAGAATTCGCAAAACTATTTAAGTGTCAAAGAAAGTTTATTTTCAAACCATTGGTAAGTGTGTAGCATTTATACTGGAGAAGGAGTTAAAGTCCAAAGCCACACCAAGATAGGTAGGGATGCCCGGGAATTGACTGAATGAGTGGATGAACCAGGACCCACCCAACTATCTTCTCTGTGTACCTCCTGCACCCCCTCTTGTATGACCCCCAGGAGCCTCCACTGTGCCCACACTTGCCCTGTCTTGCATGGGTAGTGACCCTGTGTTGCTGAAGACCCCGGCTCCCCTGGGATCCATCGCTGACAGCCTCAGTGCCTCAGATGGGCAGCTTCATGCCAAGGCGCCAACCAAGCCACCTCGAACGTCCTCACTGGTGCTGCCGGATGCCTCTGAACAAACCCCAACTTACTGTGAGCTGGTGCTCCGAGTGCCCAGCGCCCAGGGGACACCCCCTGGCCACCAAGGCCCAGAGCCAGAAGCCCCGTGGTGGGAGGCCCAGGAGGAGGAGGAGGAGAGATGTTTCGCAAGACCACAGGCAGACATCTCTTTCTGCCACCCGAGCAAATCCTCTGGCCTTCTGGGCCCCCAGAACCGGCCCTTGGAGCCCAAAGTCCTGCATACTCTCCGCGGCCTGTTCCTGGAGCACCATCCTGGGAGCACTGCCCTCCACCTGCTACTGGCAGACTGCCAGGTGCGTCACATACCAGATCCCTTCTCCATAGGCTGGGGCGAGGTCCAACAGTACCTCACATCCATATACTCACTCTGTTCACTTGTCCTCCCCACGCCCCCCTCAACTCCCCTACTGCCAGGCTGCCGGCCTGCTGGGAGTGACCAAGGCTCAGCGGGATGCCATGGGGGTTGCCTCTGGCCTGGAGCTGCTCACACTTCCCCATGGCCATCGCTTGAGGTCAGAACTGCTGGAAAGGTGAGCCAGCCACCGGGAATTCCCACGATCTCCAAATCTCCCTACTCAGAGAGGGGGGTGGGCAATGCCACCTCCCGTCCTTCCTCACCCCCAAATACAAACCTCCCCACTGCCCCCAGACCCTTGCCCTCTGCCTCCACAGGCACGAGGTGCTGGTGCTGGCCGGTGCGCTGGCGGTGCTGGGCTGCACGGGGCCGCTGGAGGAGCGCACAGCCGTCCTGAGGGGCCTGGTGGAACTGGCGCTCGCGCTACGGCCAGGGGCGGCGGGGGACCTGCCCGGACTGGCCGCTGTCATGGGCGTCCTGCTCATGCCCCAGGTGCATGGGGTGCAGGGATGGGGAGGAAGCCCGAGCGAGTGCAGGTGAGGGGGAAGAGGAGGCATGCTCAGGATTTTTACTCCAGGTGTCCCGGCTGGAACAAACGTGGCGCCAGCTCCGAAGGAGCCACACCGAGGCCGCAGTGGCTTTCGAGCAGGAGCTGAAGCCGCTGATGCGGGCGCTGGATGAGGGCGCCGGTGAGTGGCATCGTTTGCAGTTGCGCACCAATTCAAACTCAGAATCCTAACCCAGTCCTAGGCCAAGTCGAGGCTCGGGTCGTTAGCCTCGCCCCTCCGCCCCAGGCCCTGCCCCCTCCGCCCCAGGCCCAACCTTCCGCACTAACTGGGCCTTGGATCCAATCCCTGGGCCCCGCCCTCACTGTGCCCTAGGCCCCGCCCCTTTATCACAAGCTCTGCCTTCTGCACCCTATGCACTGGGCTAGTCCTGGCCCCAGCCCTTAGGCCCCGCGCCAGCTTTATGCCACGCCCTTGACTCAATCTAGCTGTGCTAGGCTCAAGCCTGCCGACCCAAGTCCTGCTGGTTACTTTAGTCCGAGGGTGCCTGGCCCAAGGCCCCACCCTCTCCACCCTAGGCCCTGCCCCCTGTCCAAGGCCCACTCCAGACCCTTCTCCCCACAGGACCCTGCCACCCTGGCGAGGTGGCGCTGCCTCACGTGGCCCCCGCGGTGCGCCTGCTGGAAGGCGAGGAAGTCCCGGGGCCGCTAGATGAGAGTTGTGAGCAGTTGCTGCGTACCCTGCAGGGGGCGCGTCAAATGGCCCAGGACGCACCCAAATTCCGCAAGGCCGCGGCCCAGCGCCTGCAAGGTGAGTGCTCCCTCTGCGCTGGGCTGCCAGAGGGTCCTGACCTTAGGAGCAACCCGCATGCTCTAACCTGGTGCCCCCAAACCAGTTTCCCGCCACGCCTCTCACCCAAGTTGGGACAGCTCCTCTCAGGGGCCCCAAGCCAGCTCTGCAACCAGCAGTGATGACAGGAAGTGCCCTACACTCAGAGGGTGGCCCCGCCCCCCAGTCACACCCACGAGTCCCACTCCCACCCATCCCAACTTCCAAGTTTGTCGCACAGGGTGGCCCAGGACCCCAAATCTTGACCCTGGGGCGGCTCCATCTCCAGGCACAGCCTCTAGGTGGGGCCCCTAGCAGCTCAAACTAGAAACAGTGTCATCACCATGCACGCTGGCCGAGCTCACCTCCACCAATCAATCCCCTCAGCCACACCCTTTCCTCCCCCCCTCCCCCGCACCGTACCGCAGAGGCCCTTGCAGCCCCGCTCCCCACCAACCCCACCTAACTGTCCAGAGTACTTGGGGCAGAGTTCCTCCAGGGCCCTGCTGGGTCAAAGTCCCCAGGAGAAAAGGCAGATGTGAGGAGGGGCAATGTAGGCCCCTGGGCCCCGCCCCTAGCGCACCTGGCCCTTCCCCCAGGATTCCGGCCGAATCCCGACCTGCAGGAGGCCCTGACCACTAACTTCCTGCGGAGGCTGCTCTGGGGAAGCCGGGGTGAGGGGGCTCCGAGGGACAGTCGTCTGAAGAAGTTTAAGCAGGTCCTCAGTGCCCTGTCACTGCGCCTGGAGCCTGACTGCTGAGAGTGCAGACCCCCGTCTTCACATTGGCACATCCAGACTTCTGGTGACCCCAGCAGGACACCTAGGAAATCATCCCAGTTTGCTCACACAGCCAAACAGGGTGAGGACCCACACCCTCGCTTGCAGAAGCGGGGGCAGGTTTGCAAGAGCCCACCCTGCCCCCTAAAAATATACAGGGATCCTGGGGTGAGGGGCAGACCCCCTTTCCCCCCCAGGAGAAGACCCAGGCCGTGGAGGCCCTGGCTGCCCTCACCTGCCCCCACCCCCACACATATCCCACAAATGGTGAACGTGTAGCTTCTAATGATAAGAGAACTTGAAACTCTGTGAGAGGCCAGAGTTCAAATGCCTTTCAAAAAGTTGTGACTACTAGCAGATTGCTTGGCTTCTTTGTGCCTGCCTTCAACACAAAAGTGAGCTGGAACTTTCTAGGGGTTATTATAGGAATTAAAGCTTAATATTTACATGAGATAATGGGTGGAGAATGCTTGGCACACAGTAGATGCTCAATAAATGCTACCCATTCTCAGGAAGTTGCCGTGAACATGGAAGGGATGTTTGCCACCCTTCTCCCTACACTGGTCGCAGACAAGGGCCCAATTCTCAGGAACAGGGTGTGTCCAGTGTGCCCAAATTCACCTTCGCTTCCTCATTCCCTGTGTGGCCTGTAAGGAGGGTGGCATTTGAATATCCAACCCCAGTTTCTACATCTCCTAATAAAGCATGGCATCCAAGAACTTCACCTATTTTTTTTTATATATAAAACAAAATGGCCCTAGCCGAGTGGCAGGAAAAAGATTTAAAACATGAGTATGTACATCAATGGTAGAAGGCACAGCGGGTCCATCTGAGGTGAGGAGTAGGGTGGAGGTGGGGGGCAGCAGGTTACACAGGTCTCAGCTGAAGCCACGGGGGCAGAAATAAAGTGCGTAGGTCCTGGGGCCCCCTGTGGCCCAGAAGCAGCAGCCGACAGCCCCCCTCTTCCCACCTCTGGCAGGGTTCAATTGAGCGTGACTCGGAGGTAGGAGGTGGGCACGTAGCCTTCCCCTCCCTGTTTCCGCCTGACCCGAGTCCAGCCATCGCCTTTGTCCTCTTCCATGAGACTCAGGTCTTCACCCTCAGCCATGGATATGGTGCCCTCGCTGGACCCTGTCGTGGGAGTGGTGGTGGGCTCAGCTCTGCTTTAGGGGCATTTAAACAGAACCTAGCCAGGCGCCCCCCACCCCTGCCCAAGCAACTGATGCTCACCTTCAAAGTGGTAGATGGCCACACAGTGACCTATAGGGGATGCAGACTCCTCGAAATCCTCATCAAACTCTGTGTAGATGGGGGTGTCCTGGCCTTCCTCCAAGGGGGGCTCTTCAGAGCTGGTAGGGGAGAGGAAAGCAGGTGAAGACAGGCCCCCCATGTCCCGGGGGAGGCAGACCCACCGTGGTCACCCCACTCACCTCTCCTTGTTCTCCTGTGATCCACTGTTACTGCTGCTGCTGCTGTCGGGTGGGGCGCTGGCTGGGGGGTCCGGAGGCCGGGTGTGCCGGTTCAGGCTGTCTCCCCGGTTGCTCAGCACCCGGCTCTCAGCTTCCGCCAGCCAAGCCTGAGAGGAGAGGACCATGTGGTCAGTTCCAGGGCAGGGCTCCGGGGTCAGCCCACTCTGGGCTCAGATGTTTCCTGAGATCACCCATGCACACCCAAAGCTGTGATGAGAAACAGCTGGAGCCGCCCCACAACACTGTCCCCCAAGCAGTGACTAAGCCCGGCTGGCCGGCCCCCGCCCCTCCCCAGGGTCTTCCCTGACCTCATACTTCTGCACTTCCAATTTCAACCGTTCAATGTTGTTCAGGGTTTCTGCAATCTGGGGCTCCAAGCTAGTGGGGTCCCCCATCTGGGGTGTCTTCTCATACACATCCTTCATTTTCTTCAGGGCTTCCCTGGGACCAGACAGACAGATGAGAAAGAACAGACCCATGTAATTTAACAAGCAAAAAATATGGGTTTTGCCCTGGCCAGTGTGGCTCAGTTGGTTGAAGGTCATCCCATGCACCAAGAGGTCCCTGGTTCAATTCCCAGTCAAGGCACCTGCCCGGGTTTGGGGCTCGATCCTGGGGACCATGCAGGAAGCAGCCAATGTTTCTCTCTCTTCCTCTCTCTCTTCCTCTCTCTCTGAATCAATCAAAAAATTTAAAGCTCACATGCTAGTGCTTCACTGACTGGGCTTGAATTCCAGTCTGGGCATTTCCTAGTTGTCAGTTTGGGTTGTTACTGAATCTGCCTCACCATGCTAACCTTGAAAATGAGGATAATGATACATACGTGGGAATGGTTGTGAAGATTAGAACAGTGCCTTTATTTATTCAGATACACAAAGTACTGCATAGCAGGCACTGTTCTAAGCAAGACAGCCAGGACCCTGCCTCTGCTCACACACAGTCTCTCAGGAAAACTTGGGCACTCCAGTAAATCCACATTTGGAATAGTGCGTGGCATACAGTAAGTGCTCTATAAATGCCGGGTGTTATTATTATCATCAGTCCTTGGTCCCTAGTTCCTCATGACTATAAAGCAGTAATAGTTATATGAGCATAGACTTCTGGAAAATGTCAAACCTGGGTTCAACTGCTTTCCAGTCTAAATAGTAGCCATATTACAGATGCAGAAACTGAGGCACAGAGAGACAAAACAGCTGGAATTCAAGGCCAGTCTTCCTTGACCCCAGAGCATGCACCTTTAGCTCCACATCATAAAAACTCGGGAAATTCAACGTTCCTAATGGAACTTTACACCGATAAAAGCTGTTTTGTACAAGATGGCAAAATATAATTTGTCTGTCTGTCTCCAAGTGGCAAACGTCATTTCTATTATGTAAGAGGACTGGAAAGAGAATCTTGCCGTCTGGAAAGAATGAGTAAAAATTTCTTTAATCTGGCAGATTTTTTACTGTTAATATTTCAAGTGTTTGAGTTAGTAAATAGATAACCATATGTTGTTGTTGTTTTAGCCAATCAATGTGGTGAATGAGATGGATTTTTTTTTTCTGTTTTGGAGACTGTAGTTGATACTCTTTTTTCTTTTTTAAATCTTTATTGTTGAAAGTATTACCTATGTCCCCTTTCCCCCCCATTGACTTCCTCCAGCCCGCTCCTACCCCCACCCCAGGCCTTCACCACCCTATTGTCTGTGTCCATGGGTTATGCATATATGCATACAAGTTATGTGGTTGATCTCTTCTCACCCATCCACCCTCCTCCGCCTTCCCTCTGCAATTCCAGTCTATTCCATGCTTCTCTGTCTCTGGATCTATTGCATTACTGGGGCAACATCCAACTGTCTCATGATTTTTTTAAGTCTTTACAAAAAGAAAGTTTTTCCAGTTCCCTGTGCTTGGCAGTGGCAGCGGTCGGTGTGAAAGCCTGGTGCCAGCGTGAGGCAGGGCAAAGCGCAGAACCAAGATGGCAGCATAGGTGAACACTGGTACTCGCCACTTCCCACAACCACATCAAAATATGACTAAAATACAGAATGACCATCATTCACAACTGCCTGAAATCTGGCAGAATGGAAGTCCTACAACTAGAGAAGTAAAGAATAAAATGCACTGAAACTGGTAGGAGGGGCAGTGGCGCTAAATGGGCTGGTCCGACCCCCATGTGTGGCGTATCTTTAATTGGGAGGGAGATCTCCAAGGCCTTCTGTGAGAAGCAGGGGATCCCGGCCCCACATCAGACCCCCAGTCCAGGGTTCCAGAACTGGGATGAGAAGTCCCCATAACTTCCAGCTATAAAAACCAGCAGGGATTGTGGCTGAGTGACATGGAGGCTGCTGGAGTCCCAGGTGTTCCTCTTAAAGGGCCTGCAACCAAGCTTACACAGTCACAAGTCCTCTGAGCTCCAGCACTGGGCTGCGGCTTTGGGGAAATCCAGTGACACAAGGGGAGGAACTGGACTGTCTGGCAATGGGCAGGAACTCAGGGGGGCTTTCTCCCAACAGAGGTGCTTACAGGGATCACTGTTCCTGTGCTGGGACCTGCCCCATCGTAGGGCTGACTGGCAGCCATATCTGAGTTACCGTCAGCGTGGCCCACACTGTCCCACTGGTCCTCTGCCCTGGTAATTTCCTGAGACCTGGCCCCATTCAGTTTGCAGACCCGCCAAAGCTGTTTGCAGCTGCTTTTCCACTTGAATGACCTGTCCTGGCTCAGGCTTCAGACTTTGCTAAAAATCTCTTACACAAGCAGTAGCTGGAGGCAGTATACCCCAAACTTATCAATAAAAGGCCCAACACCCAGCACTAGCACCAGCCTGCCTTGCCTCGCTGCTGGGCCTTGCCTGGGCACTTCCTAGCCCAATACAAATAGCGGTCATCTCCAGGTCTCTCTGTAGCTCCTGCCGGGTGGCACCAGGCAGTGGCTGACTTTGCACCTCCCAGGAGGCCCCAGAGTCAGTGACCCGGCAGACAACTTCAGGCCATAGCAGATTACAACTCTACACATCCACAAGTGACCCACTCAAGGGGAAGACTCAGTGAGCACCAAAGCCCCACTGAAGCAAGTCTTGCTCCATACAGGTGTCTCCAGCATAGCATTCTTCCATTGTAGATGCAGCTGGTCCTCACAGCCAATTGGCCTGAAGGCCAATTCCTCCCATTGAGGACAATTCCTCCCAGGGACGCCAATCAAGACTCGACTACAACAAGACTGTGCACACAGCCCACATGGGGTTGCACCAGAGTGCCCAGCTCAGGTGACTGAGGATGCTGAATCACCGGGCCCTATAGGACCTATTATAAAAGGCCACTCTACCAACTTCAGGAGACATACCAGTTCTACATACTACATAGAAACAAACACAGGGAAGCAGCCAAAATGCAGAGACAAAGAAACATGTTACAAATAAAAGAAATGGAAGCAAGCAAGCTACTGGATACAGAGTACAAACTGTTTTGAACTCTGGGATCTTAATGAGAGCTGCAAGGGACTTAGTAGACTCTCGAAGATCTTAAGGAGAATGTCAAAGACATAAAAAAAGGCCAGTCAGAAATTAAGCATATACTAACTAAAATAAAGAATAATTTAAAGGGAGCTCTAGCTGGTTTGGCTCAATGGATAGAGGATCGGCCTGTGCACTGAAGGGTCCCAGGTTCAATTCCAGTCAAGGGCACATGCCTGGGTTGCGGGCTCGATCCCAAGTAGGGGGTGTACAGGAGGCAGCCAATCAATGATTCTCATCAATGATGTTTCTATTTCTCTCTCCCTCTCCCTTTCTCTCTGAAATCAATAAAAATATATATTTTTAAAAAGAATAACATACAGGGCTTCAACAGTAGATTAGAGGATTCCAAGAATCAAATCAAGGATTTGGAATAAGAGGAAGCAAAAACCACCCAATCAGAACAGCAGAAAGAAAAAAGAATCCGAAGTTATGAAGATGATAGTATAAAAAGCCTCTGAGACAACTTCATGTGTATCAACATTCACATTATGGTGGTGCCAGAAGGAGAAGAGAGAAAGCAAGATATTAAAAACCTATTTGAAAAAAATAATGACAGAAAACTCCCCCTACCAGGTGAAACAAATAGACTTACAAGTACAGGAAGCACAGAGAGTCCCAAACAAGAGGAACCAAAAGAGGCCCACACCAAGACACATCACAATTAAAATGCCAAAGGTTAAAGACAGGCAAGAATTTTAAAAACAGCAATAGACAAGCAGTTAGTTACCTACAGGGGAAACCCCAATAACTCTTAGCTGATTTCTCAACAGAAACTTTACAGGCCAGAAAGGAGTGGCAAGAAATATTCAAAGTGATGAATAGCAAGGACCTACAACCAAGATTACTCTACCCAGCAAAGCTAACATTTAGAATTGTATGTCAGATAAAGAGCTTCACAGACAAGAAAAAGCTAAAGGAGTTAATCACCACCAAAGCAGTACTACATGATATGCTAAATGGTATTCTAGAAGAAGAAGGAGGAGGAAGAGGTGGAGGAGGAGGAGGAGGAGAGGAGGAGGAGGAGGAGGGAGGAGGAGGAGAGGAGGAGGAAGGAGAAGAAGAAGAGAAGAAGAAGAAGAAGAAGAAGAAGAAGAAGAAGAAGAAGAACAATAAAATGGCAATAAATATCTATCTATCAACAATTAAATCTACAACTCAAAATAAATGAACAAGAAATCTAATGAACAAAATAAACTGATGAATAAAATAGAATCAGAGGCATAGAAACATGGAACAGACTGATGAGTCTCAGAGGGAAGGAGGGTAGAGGGTAGAAAGAGATTAACCAAAGTTCTTAAATGCATATATGCATTACCTATGGATAGAGACAATAGGATGGGAACTGGGTGGAGGTGGGCACTGGGGAGAAAAAGATCTGTATTACTCTCAGCAATAAAGATTAAAAAAGATCTTTTTATGTTTTATTATGATAAAATATACAGAACATAAAAATTCCCATTTGAACCATTTTTGGTTCTTTGTGCCACATGTACAGCTCCATGGCATAAAGTACATTCACATTGTTGTGCAACCATGACCACTGCATGATGTTTTAGTTTTAAAATACACCCTCTTAGTTGCTTGGCTAGGGTTTTGCATCTAAGATCACAAGTGAAGTAAAATGAGTCCATACTTCTATTTTCTTGAATTCTTGCTAAGTGATTTTAAAATAGAGATTCCACCAGACTCCAGAATGTGCTGGTGGCATCCACTCCTGTCTGTGCTGGAATGAGCTCTATAAGATGGGAAGGAACTGTTTCTGATGAGTGGAGTAGGAATCACCTGTATAACCATCGGAGATTGGGGCTTGTTGGGAGGTTTGATTGCCATTGCAATGTACAGACGATGGTGCAGAAACTATACCCATTCATCAGAAACCGTACTTGGAATGCTGACCTTTGCTGGGGCAAGTGATATGCCCTGTGATACTCTGTGGTGACGCTGGCAGCAGCAGAGAGCCAGAGCTGCCAGTCAGCCAGTCATGAGGTAAACAACCGGCACTATGCACTGTAGTACTAAATGCATTTGACTTGGTGTTTTCAGTTCATGATGTGTTCACTGGATGCAACTGAATGGTAAGTTGAGGAACATCTGTAAGTCTGTACTATTTTGTTGTTGTTGTTGATAATCCTCACCCGAGGATATTTTTCCATTGATTTTTAGGGAGAGTGGAAGAGAGAGGCAAAGACAGAGAAACATAGATGTGAGAGAAACACATGGACTAGCTGCCTCCTGCAGGAGCCCTGACCAGGGCTGAGCTGGGGAGGAGCCAGAATCCAAGGTACCTGCCCTTGATCTGAATCCAACCCGGGACCCTTTGGTCCGCAGGCTGAGGCTCTATCCACTGAGCCAAACCGGCTAGGGCTGTCTTCACTGTTTTACTTTCCTCTCTGCCTGCCTCCCTCTCCCTTACCTCTGGTCAATCTCTTTCTGTAGTTCACGATTATGCTCCTCCAGCTGCTGCTGAAGCCGCTTTCTCTGCAGCTCTGGGAGCAAGTGGCTAAAATCCTCAGTGACCACTGTCTGCAGGCAGAACGAGAGCTGATTTGGGATTGTGGAGTGTGAACTTCCAGGCCCTAGGACACTCATAAGACACACCAGGTCCACCTTCCGCCCCACCCAAGGGTCCTGGGGGCAAGGCCATGCACTGAGCAAAGCAAGTCCGAGTCACACAATGGGAGGAGTGGGTCCAGCCTGCAGCAGGAAGCGAGCCCAGAGTCCCGCCTCAGGGCCACTGGGCAGGCTGGGGGTGCCCTCCTCCTCCTCCCTTGGAGGCCTCACTTACCCAAAGGCTATAGGGGGTGTAGAATATAGAGAACGAGCACAATATGGACCGATGGAGGGATGAAATGAAGGAAAAAATGAGATGGAAAAAAGAAAACTGGTAAGAAAACCACAACTCAAGATGCACAATCACACACAGGAAATGCATGCAAAGAACAACACAGAAATCTGGGAGGTGGGGGGTGAGGGGGCATTAAACTGTGAGCCAGAAGGCCAGACCCCTCCTTCCCTCAATGTCTCCCACAGCCCGTGCATCCCATGCCCAGAACCTAGCATGGGGTCTGAGGGTGCGGGGAAGCCCAAGTGTCTGCCCCCCACCCCCAGCTTTCTGGGCTCACAGTCCACAACATCGAGGGAGGTGCATGCAGAAATCAAGGTCTCATACAGGTATGGGGCCACAGGAGTCAAGGGCAAGCTCAGAGAAGGGTCAAAGGCGTGAAATATCAGAGAATTTCAGATGGGGTTTCCACTAGGTAGGGGAGACACAATTTATAAATTGAAATGGGGTATCAAGGGCCAAAGGTATAAACTAGGGAGAGGGCAGTTGTAGCAGCTATAAACCACGAGTGTCCAAGTATGTGCTTGACATTGAAAACCAAAAGTCCCAAGAAAAAACTATCCTGAAGGTCGGGACCCAGCCCCATGGGTGGGATGGAAAGAGTTCAGGGGGAGTCCCCACGGCCAGCATCCGAGCCCTCACACAGCCCTAAATCCCACAAGCAGGTCTCCTCCTAGCATCCCGAGAAGCAGCAGACACACACCACAGCCACCCACCCTCCCTTCCTGGCCCCCTGTCAGCCTCAGGGGACTCTCAGGCCAATCACCACTTTCCCTCTAGCCTGGGCCGGCAGCCAAGAGGAAAATTCCTGCCCAGGACTCAGAGTTCCAACGGCTGGGGCTGACTCAGTGCCCCCACACTCACCGCTGTCCCCACTCACTCACAACCTCTCCCCAAGAGCCCCAGGCCCCACCTTGTTCTTTTTGCCAAAGGGCCAGCGTTTGGCACGGCTACGACCTGGGCCTCGCAGCTCGGGCCGGCCATCGGAGGGGGTGCCCAGGCTGCTGTCCGAGTGCGCTCTGTTCATGGGCTGGCTGAAGTCTTCGAATTCCACGTCGCCCGGGCGGGCAAAGCCTGACTTGTTCAGCTCAATTAGGACCTGGGAGTCCTGCAGGGAGGACATGGGGAGGGGGAAGGGCAGTCGGAAGTCAGACCAGGTGCCTAACTTCAGGGTCCACCTGCCCACCCCACAACCCACTGGCACAGGACCAGGCACGCACATTCTTGCTGTCCACAGCAGCCGCAGCCACCTTCATGCCCTCCAAACACTTGGTGATGATCGGAAGCACCTGCAGCTCCGCCTCTGACAGCAGCCCGTACCCAGCCCCCAAGTGGGTGGCCCGGCGCTCATCCATGTCCTGTAGCTTCTACAGGGACAAGGCAGGGGTGCTAATGGAGGGGCCGGAGCACAGATACTTCCAACCCAAGGTGGTCAAGGGAGAGACAAGGGGCCAGGCTGGTTTCAGAGGGGACTTTAAGGACCCCTCCCCACCCCCACCCCCACCCCCCACCCAGGGAGTAAAGAAAGGCTTCTCAAAGGAGTTGGCAATGGAGCCAGGGCTTTGAAGGAAAAGCAGGCCCAGCACAGATATTGCCAATCCCAGGATTAGGACAAAAGAGTGGAATATAGGCTGAACAAGGAGAGGGAAAATTCAAGATGTTTCAGAGGGGTTGTTAGAGCTGGGGCTTAGAAAAACGAACAGGATGTTCAAGAGACAAGGAAGACATCCCTGACAGAAGGAATAGCGTGAGTGACAGAAGAGCTCACTATTACTATTTGTTTCTAAAACCTCTTTCAATTTAGAGATTAGGACATTGCAGCTGGGGTTTTGACAAATGTGTAGGAGATGGTTGACAGTGGGGTTTTTTTGGGGGGGAGGGAAAGTGGGGGCTTGGAACACTCACATCAAATATCTGAGGCATCTGGGAAAAATAGAAGTGGGCCTGGTCTCGGTTGAAACGCTGTAGTTGGGCTGCGTACTCATTTTTGCTTTCTTCTGCCATATGACTCCGAAGATGGGCTTGTTGCTTGGCCTGAGGAAGATCAAGGTGGGGGGGTCAGTCACTGGCAGGTTCTGACCCCATCCCATCCCAACCTCTAAGCCTGCCCCTGACCCCACAAGCACCTTCTCCACGTCCGCCTTGGTGGCGTTGATATCCTGGTCTAGCCGCTCTGCGGTCTGGGCTGCCTTCTCAGCCTCCCGGCAGTCCCGCTCAAATTTACGCTTACTCTGCGTAGTGGACAGAACCAGAATGAAGGAGCTGCCATCCCCGATGGCAAGGGGATATGGGAAGCCAAGATTCTAGCAGCTGGCAGGAAGTCACCCAGCAAATGGGGGGCAACGGGCATTCTGGAAACCTTTTGGGGGGTGGCGGGGAGAAGGGAGGAAGGGGAGAAGTTCTAGCCCAGCCGTGGGCAAACTACGGCCTGCGGGCCGGATCCGGCCCGTTTGAAATGAATAAAACTAAAAAAAAAGAGAGACTGTACCCTTTTATGTATGATGTTTACTTTGAATTTATATTAGTTCACACAAACACTCCATCCATGCTTTTGTTCTGGCCCTCCGGTCCAGTTTAAGAACCCATTGTGGCCCTCGAGTCAAAAAGTTTGCCCACCCCTGTTGTAGCCAGACAAAAGGCTCTGTGGGTCAGCAACCCTCACCCTGCTCCCTGGGACCAGAGCCACCGTCCACACCCACAAACTCACATTCTCCAGCTGTTTGAAGCCACTTTCCAGCTGCTGCTGAGCCCGACGTCCTTCTTGGAAGTGCTGTGGGAAGAAGAGGGACAGGCTCACCCGGGTCACGGCAGGGCCCTCAGGAAGACCCAGGGAGGAGGCCACTCACCATCTTTCTCTCCTGCTTCATCTCTTGCGAGTATTTGGCCAGCTCAAGACACACGTGGACGCTGAGGTTCTCAGCCACCAGCTCCCGCTGGCCCGCAAAGTCATTTACTTCCTGGAGAATCTGCACAAAGGACTGCTGCTGGCTGAACCTCCGGGGAGAGAGGGGGCAGCGAGCCAGAGGTCAGACCCCTGGACCCAACTCCACACGAGAAAGGGGAAGACCCGAGACATGCACTCCTGAAGCAGTGACAAAATCTGGCCCATGTCCCCTACCCCTTGCTTGAGTGAGATGCATTTCGGAACTCGGAATATTTTGGGTTTTAGAAAGGAGATACAATGCTTGTACCATCTTTTGTCTATCATCCCAGTGGGGTCAGGGACAACATCCTGTAACCAAACACTAGAAGTATTTTTGCAGAAAGAAGTATTAATAGTCATACTAAGTGGGATAAAAACCAAGCCCATAATGAACCCGATCCACATCGAGTTCAGATCAGAGGTGGCCTCCAAATAACTTACCAGAAAAACTTTTCATTTCTCGAAACTTTTGGGTTCCGAACAAGAGACCCATATGGGCTGGACACTGTTCTAACACATTCCTTCAGTTAGTCTTCATGTGAGCCCCCCACAAGGTCATGGTCATCATGCCCATTTCACAGGTGAAGAAAACCGAGGCACAAAACTTAAGTCACTTGCCCAGAGTCACTCACTTATTAACTGCTGGAGCCTCCCCCATTTAGTAGGTAGAGGAAAATGGAAGCAGAGAACTTGAGTCAACTGCCAAAGGCAGTTTGGCTAGAAAGTAGTGGATTTAGGATTGCAACCCTGGTACTCTGGAGCCTGTACCTATGCTTTTTTTTTTTTTTTTTTAAATTGGTTTTAGAGAGACAGGAATCGAACCCTTCCCTTTTTGGGTCACAGTGGCCAGGGCCTATATACCCTTAAATCTAGGTGAGAATCTAGATAACAAGTGAGGGATCTGATTGAGTGACTCAGCTACCGGACAGAAAGCCAGACAAAAGCCCCCTGGCTCCCCCGCCTCCTCCGCCCCCGCTGCCCCCAATCTAGCCCACACCCTCTCTCCATCCTTACTTGGACTCAGGGTCATCTTTGGCAGGTCTCTTGGGCAGATACTTTTTCACCAGGTTCCTAGGGGGAGAGAGGCAGGAAGGCTGAGCCCGCAGCCCCCCAACTGCACCCTCGCCCCAGGGCCTGTCCACCCTAGGGTCTCACCGCAGCTGCTTCGCGTAAGCCTGCTCCACCTCTGTCCGCTCTTTCACGAACTTCACATATCTGTCCAACAGGTCCAGCCCCCACTGCGTGTGCCGCTCTATCACCTCAAATTGATCCTGACGGGAGGATGGGAGGGTGGGGGAGGACCGGGTCAAGACCCCGCAGCCAGATACCAGGGAGCCTCAAGGATCTGAGCTCCCTCCGAGAAGGAGTGGCTTCCCGGACCGCCCCGGCTCGACTCCGCTGGAGGTGCGGGGGGAGGCAGGAAACCAGCGGGAACCCCCTCCCCTTCCCGGGAAGGGCCAGGGAACAGGGGCGGGGCCCCAGCCGGACGACGACAGGGTCTCCGTCTCTGGACAGCCAAGAGGGGTGTGGAATGGGGTAGGGCCACTCCCCTTGCTCCGACTCCCCTAATCCCCCCGGATTCCGGAAAATCCGGCAGGCCCGGCGTGAGTCAGGGCTAAAGGGGCCGGGTTCCCTGCGTCTTGGGGGTTAGGAGGGGCAGAATGGCCGAAGGGCAGGCACCCCGGTGTACTCCGTTTACCCCACGAATTCCAGTGCACCTCCAAAAGAAATCCCAGAGTTGAGGAGGGGGCAATGTAGTTACCTCGCTGCACCCGGGAACCCAGAGATGCCACCGCCTCCAGAAGGAGGAGGGGTCGGAGGTCCCGGCTAGAATTAGGGGGGAATTCCTGGGGCTTCCAGAACTGAGGTTAGAGGCTGCCTGGAGAGGGCCCCTCCCTGTGCCCGGAACAGGGGCGGCCAAGCCTCACAGCCCCTTCCCCCACTAGAGCGTCCCTAGCCCCTAGGTGTTGATTGGAGGTGACGCAAAGGGCAGTCAGGACGTCTAAGTCCCACGTGGGATTGAAAGTGGCCAGAGGGTCCCCTCCCCCTCACCAGGCGGACAGGCGGGCGGCGGGCAGCAACCCAGGGGCCGTAAGATAAGCCGCCCGCCCAGCCAGGGTGCTCAAAATAGGTGACCTCGCTCGGCCGCCCAGGCCTGGTCCTAGGAGTTCGTCCTCCTCCTCACTCTGAACCCGGTGCCTCAGTTTCCCTACGCCGCACCTGCAAGGCCGCCCCTTGCCCCCGAGCTTCCTGAGACGTCCCGGGAAACTCCGAGAGAGGGCGGAGCGGGGACGACAGGGATCGGTGGAAGGGAAAGCGTGGAGCTTCGGCTCAGGAACTGCAGGGGCAAAGGGGAGCGTCTGGACCCCAGGAAGGTAAGAGCTTGGAGTCAGGCCGATGGGACTCACCCACAGCTCGGTGCCCCAATCCATGCTGCTCCCGCCGAGGCCGCCACCGAGGCCGCCGCACCCGGTCCCCGCCGCCCGCCGCCCTCCGCGGGGAAACTCAGTCGAAGGCTATGCGCCCGACCCCGCCCCGCCCAGGCCCCGCCCACTCGCGGCTATGCCACGCCCCTCAGGCTCTGCCCCGCCCCGGCCGGCGCGGAGCTCCAGCCCAGAAACCTAAAGGGGGGCCAGGCCGGATGGAACTGGACAGACGCCTTAAAGGACCCCCACCCATTTTCCAAATCCCCGGGCCCCTCTTATCTCACCCCCCCACCCCCCCATGCCCGGTCTCGGACTGTTCTAACTTTCCTCTTTCTCTTCAACCATAAGGGCCAAGACACTAAAACCCCATCCAAGAGGTCCTTCCCCACCCTTCGCAGGGAGAACCTGAGGTCACCAGCTCTTGCGGGCCGGCACGGCTCCAGACGTCTCTGCTCGTCCCACAAATGGTCTAGTGAGTCCCTCCCGCCACAGGAAGAATGGGAGGACTTCGATCCTGTCCAGGACGCGGTTTCGCCAAGGCCGGGTCCATTAGCGCCCCTACCGCATCCTGCCTTCCCTCCCCTAAAGTCTGCACCGGGAAACTGAGGACGGACCGTCCTTGGGGCGCCGGGCCCAGGCCTTTCCTCAGCTCCCGTCCAGTTAGGGCTTGCACCTGCCCATTTTTCAGTCGCTTCCATCAAGACCCAATTAGGTTTAATTGTCTGTACTGGGATTGCAACTCCGCCCATCCCTCCACACTGGGGCCTGGGGCTGGGAAGTCTTTGGGCTCCCTCATAAAAGTTTGTTCACACTGTGTTAATCCCTTTGAGGCACTGGGATGAAAGGGGAGCGATCCCAGCAGTCCCACCCTTATCCTCTCCCGCCTCTAAGGCTTTCTCTATAGCTACGGAGGTGACGAGCGCTCTGCTGGGGTTGGGAGCTCTGGCCTGAGGGACAGATTAGGCTCCCAGATGCCCACTACGCGTACCAGGGAGCCCTGGAAATGAGCTTCAGGAGCTCACACTAGGAGAGATGGCTCTGTGGGGACCTGGCCCCACCTGCTGGTGGCTTCTGAGCTAGAAATCCTCAAGTTGCAAAGCGGGCTGTGCTCCAGAGTGTGGGGCGCTGGGGTCTGGACACAATAGCTCAGCCTGGGATTAGGGTCTCAACTCTGGGTTCAAGCTCAGATTTATGCCAGGTTGGGACTGAAGTTGGGATGGGATCTCAGATGGGTCAGAGCTTAGCAGAGGGGTCGGCAACCCAGTTGGGGGGGGGGGGGGATGTCTAATACTCAAACTAGGGTCCTGTGGTCTGGCCTCATCTGGGGTCAGGTCTCCGTCCAGGTGAGGGTCCCAACCACAGATGAAGACTCAGTGTAGGTCGAGGGTCAGAAGGGATAGGGAATTTGGGTTTCGGGCTGAGGTCGGGGCCCAGCTGCAGGAAGGGAACTCTGCGTGGGATCGGGGTTTGGTCCATCTGGGGGTAGGACTCCAGTTGCCTCACTCTTAGGATAGGAGGCTTCACCTAAGGCTGAGACTCAACCTGGGGTCATAGGTCATCCAAGGGTCAAGATATAGCCTGGGACCAAGTTTAGGCTTCTGGGCTGACAAAAATGATTAGGACAGGATCGGCGTCCGCAGATGCGCCTGTTTACCAAAAGCCTGAACTCCCGCAGGGAGCCACGTCCCGGGGGTAGGAAAGAGAAAGCCCGTCCTCGGGAATCCTGGGAAAGGTAGTTCACTAAACGCCCTGTTGCGCAGTCTGTTCCCTCTACATTCTGGGTACTGTAGTCCTGGCCCAGTCTATCAGTTAAGAGTGGGTGGAGAAATGCTTTAAGGGTCGGATATCAGATCTATTACAATTGGTTAGGTGAACTGTTTATCAAATTATTTTCGGGACTATTTTTCTAGTGATTGGTGAGAGTAAAGGCGGGTTAAGCGTTATCAGCACTTTCATTCGGAGCTAGTGCTGTCCATTAGGTGTCGTGAGGGGCGGGTTTGTGAGAAAAGGGTCACTGATTGGTTGGGTGGGCTGGAAAAGCCGCAAGGTCGGCCCCCACCGTGCGGCGATTGGCTCATAGGGAGGCGGGCCTGGGAGCGTCAGAGGCGGTGTCAGGGAAGGTGGTGGCTCCGGAGGTGGCACTGAGCGAGGGGCGGGGCTCGCCCGCGGAAGCCCGCGGAGTGGGGCCCGAGGCTACTTCTGCTGCTCCAGTTGGGCTGCTGTTCCGGGCGCATCCACCAGCTGGCGCTGACGCCGAGTCACACCGCGGGCGGTCTCGGCGGGCGTGGGGCGGGGGGAGGGAGGGGGGGGCGGGACGCAGCTTTGTCCCAGAGAAGCCTCTGGCTTGGAATGGTCTCTTCCTATTTCTCCCGCTCCTTTCGCGGGATGGAGCGGTCCAGCCACCCCGGCTTCCAGGACCAGAGACTTCTCCTCCCAGGAGCACCCCAGGTCCACCGGATTGAGTTGCCCGGTGGACCACGTTGAGGTCGTGCTGCCCATTAGGGGCGGGGCTTCATCTGTCCGCACCCCGAGACTCTTAGCTCTCTAAATGCCTGGGATCTCATTGCTTGGCTCCATCCAGGAGTCCCCGGTTCGCTCTAGAATGGGTTCCTCTGGGCACTCATTGGGATCTCGGGGGCTCAGTTGAAATCAGCACGCTGGGGACTCAGTTTGGGATCTAAAAGTTGTCCGGGAGTTGAGGGCCAGACACCAGAATAAATAACTGTGCTTTCAGGGTGGTACTCACCCGGTGGGGGTGGCGGGCACTGTCAGGTGCCCCAGGCTTTCTTCCTGGAAGCTCAGAACAGTGGCGGGAGGACCCAGAGCCAATCTGTCCCAGCCTAGGATTGGTCTGGGGACACAACCTCCAGGGAGGCCCTCGCAGCCTGTTCTGTCACCCCTTGGAGCTGTCCTAAATAAAGGGGTGCCAGAAGGGGGCCGCCCGAGGCCCTTGGGGGAGCCTCGTGCCAGAGCCCGAGGGCTGGGCCAGTGGGAAGAAGTCTGAACTGCCTTTGTCTCCTTGGTATCCAGTAGGGGGAGAAGCGACCAGACACCCAGCTGAACAGCTTCGGTTTCTATCCCAAGGGCTGGAGGTGAACCTGAGACTCGTGTGGCTGGACCTTCGGGAAACGAAAGAGAAGATCCCTTTGGTGAGAGGCTTTGAGGAGTTTGCTGGAGGAGGGTGAAGTGCACACGTGTCCAAGCCCACCTCTCCCAGTTCTGGATTCACATCTTAGTCCTGCCTCTCACCCATATAATCTCGAGCAAGTAAGTCCCCTGATCTCTCTGAGTCCCAGTTTCCTCATTGGGAACACGGGAATAATAATACTAGTATCTCATGCAATATGTGTTAGCAACTGACCTGGGGGGGGGGGGGGGTAGGGCATAGCAATGATCAAGACAGCCCCAGTTCCCACAGTTAAAATGAATAGCTAGCATTTATTAAATACCCACTCGGTACCAGGTACCATGCAAAGCAATTTCCATAGATCTGTTTCCTTGTAGCCACCTTTCAGGGATGCTGCAAAAGCATCCTGTAAAGCCAATTTTACACAGGCTTGGAGGTATGTGGCTTCCTCAGAGTCACAGAACCTGCATGCGAATCCAAGTGTGCTGGATTCCCGAGTCCAAGGCAGAAAACCATGAACATTTTATTGATTAAAAAAAATTATTTCTTGCCCTGGCCAGTGTGGCTCAATTGGTTAGAGCATCATTCCGCACACAGAAAGGAGGTGTGTTGGATCCCCGTCAGGGCACATACTTAGGTTATGGATTCGATCCCCAGCATGTGGGAGGCAGCTGATCCATGTTTCTCTCTCAAATTGATGTTTCTGTCTTCCTCACCCTTCCTCTCTGTCTAAAACCAATAAAATCATATTTTTAAAAAATGTATTTCCTTTTACATCAGCATTTTAATTGGGGGGCGAGTGGTGGTGGGAGGAAGAGATGGACTAGATCCAGAGGACCAGCAAAGATCTCCCTGAGGAAGTGGCATCCAAGTTGAGTGTGGGTGCCTGTGGGACCCCTCACTCCAAGCTGAGGCTGTCTCTCTCTGCCTGTCCCCACCACCCAGTTCTGCCGGGGTCCAGCCCCAGCGGGTCCAGGGGTCCCCAAAGGTGTAGACGGAGTCGGCGAAGAAGGAATGACACGGAGACAGCGTTCAGTTGATCAGCAGCCTAGCCAGGATCTCTAGCCAGGATCTCCAGCCAAGTTCTGGTCTGGATCTCCAGCGAAGTTCTGCTTAGGATCTCCTGCCAGGGTCTGTCCAGGTTCTCCAGCCAGGTTCAGTAGCCATGTTCCCTCGCTAGGTTCTCCAGCCAGGTTCTGTACAGGTTCTCCAGCTAGGTTCAGTCACCAGGTTCTAGTCAGGTTCTTTTGCCCATTTCTGTAGTCAGGTTCAGTCCAGGATCTTTTGCCATGTTCTCTCCAGCGAAGTTCTTCTGTCTGTAGGTTCTGTGTAGGTTCTGTCTTCTGAGTTCTGTGTTCTAAGTTCTGTATTCTAAGTTCTGTGTCTTGCTGTCTTGTTACAACTGTATTTATACCAGTTGATTCAATCCTATCAATCTCTATTACAAAGGTTAGGGCGTTTCTTATCTCCATTCCAGGGAGTAAAGATTATGTAGCTTAAGCATGATTGTTCGTAGTTAAAGTGATTAATTACCCACCTGGCACTAGTTAAGAGGTTTTATTCCCTCCCTAACTTCAGGGGAAAATCCCTACCTGGGGAAACAACCTTTCTCAGAGACCTTGGTTAAAACACATAGTGCCAAGAAGGTGAGCAAACATATTAAGAACAGTATGCCATATATGCCAGGTCCCTTGAAACAGCAAGGATGGACCGGCTCCCAGCACAGTTCCACATGATAATTGGCTTGAGGGCCAAGGAAGGCCAATATAGTCTCAGTTTCCACAACTGCTACAATCTGATGCGGGGACAGGAATGCCCATTCGACATCATGTTGAGTGGATGGTTGGGCAACAGGTTCACGGAGCCCTAACTACAGGTCAGGTCACCATGCTGAGTTCAGCTTCCTCAAATCCTCTGGGTAGCCATGCTATGAAATGAAAACTAATGTACCCATTTGGGAGATAGGAAGACTGAGGGGGAGTTAGCCAGCTAGAGAATGGGAGAGCTGGAGATTCCCAGTGATGGTTCTGCAAGTTCAGAGCTAGCATGATCACATGATAACTGCAAGATCACATGATATCCTTGCCCCTGGGCATCCCCACTTCTAGCCACCACTCCCTCCCATCCCTATCCCTGACTGTTGCCTCCATACCACTTTCTGTCCTTGCCTCCCCGTTAGGTACAATGTCTTCGAGATCCACTCGCTCATGGTGGCCCCGGCTTTGACCAGGAATATCTTGCTCCTTTTCCACAGTGTGAGAACCTGGGCCTGGGGCAGGGGGCAGGCTGGAGTCCCTGAGTCCAAGATGCAGTCTGAACAGGCCACTCCCAAATCTCTGCAGACCCTGGCTTGGCAGTTCCATGTGTCCACCCATTTTATCATTGTGGCCAGCTGTCCATCTACTTCATCTGTCTATCTGTCTTTCTGTAAAGCTGTAACTGTCTACCCGACTGATTCTCACTCTCCATTCATCTATGATCTTTATTCCATTCTGTGGCTGTGACTGCCCATTTCTGAGTCCACTCACCATCCTGATCGTAACCATCAATTCAGTCAACTTTCTAGCCACCCATCTGACAATGATTGTCCATGTTCCTAAACCACCGCCATCCACCCATTTGTAATCACTGCCCATCTCTCTGCCTGTCCATCTATCTGTCCACCTCCAGGTCAACTACTACTTTATCAACAACCAGGGCCACCACATCAAAGGCCTTGCTGTCATGCATTGAATGACACACCTATGAGTGACCTTCTCTGCCAGGAAGGTGGTGGGCAGTGGGCAGGAGAGGACTGGGTGCCCCTCTCACTGCTCCCCTTCCCTGGCCTCTAAGATGAAGGGTGCCCTCCTCTTCATCATTTCCTTGATCATCGCTGGCTGGGCCTTTGTTAACTGCATTCTGTCCAACAAGGAGGAGATCTTCGGGATCAGGATCCTGATCCCAGGTGCATCTGAGGCCCCAGGTGGGCACGCCTGCACACATGGGCATACCCACCCACCCTATACCTGCCCCACAGGTCCTGGCTGACCTGGCCCACATTGTCATCAAGTCCTATGAGGAGGGTGTCAGTGACTATGGGCTTCTCTTTCTGGTAGATCTTATCTGCTGCGATACCATCCTTTTTCCTGTGGTCTGGTGAGGACTCTACCCCTGCCCTCCCCTAGGCCCAGACCCCATGGGTGGAAGCAACACTGACTGTTCCTTGTGTCTCTCTCTCCTTTCCAGGTCCATCCAACATCTGGCACCAAGGAAGGGTGAGGCCCTGCTCCCTGGGACCTGCTGTGTCCCCAGCCTCCATCCCGTTCCAGGTCCTTCGTGCTGACCCCCATAGGTCCCTTCCCTCCCCTCTAACTGCCCTCTCCCCCTCCTCCATCCCCTTCAGTGTCTCACTGGACATCCCCCTCTAGACTTTCTGCCCCCATGTCCTCCCCGACCCCAGCCCCGTGTTCTTGCCTCCAGCCTCCGTCCCCTGACCCCCACTCTCTCTGCCCACCCCTCAATGGCAGTGAACCTGGCCAAGCTGAAGCTGTTTCGGCATTACTATGTCATGGTAGGAGCCTCGTTCCCACTCATGAAGGAGGTTTTGAGGGGGAGGACAAATAGCCCCTTGGTTCTCCCTCCCTAACCCCTCTTTCTGCTGTACCTCTGAACCCCACCACTCAGCCCTCTGCCTTCTATCTGTGGGCCCCACCTCAGGCATCCCTTCTGATCTCACTGGGCCCCCGTGCCCAACAGTGTCCCTTGCAGATCATCTGTTGCATCTACTTCACGAGGATCATCGCTATCCTGCTGTGGGTGGCCATGCTATGATAACTGCAAGATCACATGATACCCTTGCCATGCCCTTCCAGTGGCAGTGGCTGTACCAGGTGAGCACAGAGGCCTGAGGAGGGGTGGAAAGGTGGGCCAGACAATGAAGGTGGAGGAGACAGGGGTCTGTACCTGACACTTCTGCTTGGGCCCCCGCCCCAAGCCCATCCCCCAGCTCTTGCTTGAGGACTCCACTCTCACCTTCTCCTTACTCACCACAGGTTACAAGTGCTGCAGTCAGGCAACAACCTCTGCAAGTGTGAGCCCTCAGACTGAAATGGTGGGGCTATGGTGGGTGGAGCCGAGGTGCAGGATTGGTGGAGTGGGGTGGCGGGGCCTGACAATCCTTGGGACTGCCTGGCAGTTTCAGGGTGGAGTGGGGTGGGACTTGGACAGCTCTGGGGACAGGGCCTGGCACCCATGAGCTCCGATCACCTTGTGGTTGCTTTTTGAATGACCGATTCTGGGTTTCTGGAAGGCCTGTCCAAAGTCAACAAAGCAGCCAGTGTCCCAGAGCTGTTGTGATCACCCCCATCTCAGACCATGCTTTTTCACCCTCCTTCTCTGCTCACACACATTCCTCACTCCAGATTCTTTCCCAGAGTGTGGGGGTTTGTAGAAAGGGGGTCTGTGCGCATCAGGCCCCTAACTCCCTGGGAGCCATGTTCAGAAGAAGATGGTCAGAAGAAGACGGATAGTTCCCTCTTCCCCCAAGTATGGGGCAGCCCTGTCCCCATCAGGGACCAGGGACCATGCCCAACTTGCAGCTGTAAAATAATGACATATCTGTTTTGCTCCCCTGGTTTCTTGCCTTTCTGGGGGTTGAGGTCTAACACGGGTTGTGTTTACAATTTAGAAACCTGTATTCACTGGAGGAGGTGGTTGTAGTATTTATTGCTTTACATGCAATTAATCTGAATTGAGCAACTACTGTGAGTGGGCCCTATGCCGAGCATGGAGGACAGAGAAGTGACCAAGACCCACCTAGTCCCAACACTCAAGGGGCTCTTAGTCTTGGGAGTAGGAAGTTGGAGAGGGGGACAAGGAGAGGGACATGTTATCATACAATTTCATCACAGGGCCCTGACACAGCCTGGGAAGTCAGGGAAAGTGAATAGAGAAGTGGTGGGAAGGATGTGGGCCCAGATGAGGAACAGCATGTACAAAGGCTGGAGGTAAGAAAAATGGTGATTGAAAGACCCGCAAGTGGCTCAAGCCAAGAGTAGTAGCTGCCCGGCTGGTGTGGCTCAGTGATTGAGTGACAACCCATGAACCAGGAGGTCATGGTTCAATTTCTAATCAGGGCACATGCCTGGGTTGCAGGCTCAATCCCCAGTAGGGGGCATGCAGAAGGATTCTCTCTCATCATGTTTAAAATATACATGTATATTTTATTGATTTTTTACAGAGAGGAAGGGAGAGGCATAGAGAGTTAGAACATCAATGAGAGAGAAACATCGATTAGCTGCCTCCTGCACCCCCCCCCCCCCCCCCCGCAACCAAGGTACATGCCCTTGACCGGAATTGAATCTGGGACGCATCAGTCCGCAGGCAGACGCTCTATGTCTACCCACTGAGCCAAACCGGTTAGGGCTCTCTCTCATCATTGATGTTTCTATCTCTCTCCCCTTCTCCCTTCCTCTCTCTGAAATCAATAAAAACATATTTTTTTAAAAAAAGTAGTTCCTTTCTGAAATTAATAAAAACATTATTATAAGTAATAGTAGCGCTCCATGGACCTTAACTCATTAAAAAGCTTCTGAGGCACAGAGGCTACGTGACTTGCCCACGGTCACGCAGCTAAGGACTTGGTGTGAGACTCAATAAACAAAACATCAGGGACCACACCTCAATCATCCCCTATTTTGCGATGTGGCCCCAGATAAGTGGTTCAATCTCTGTTTTCTCACATGTAAGATGTGGGTCATTGAGTATCACCTATGAGTGTCTGGCTCAGTGCAGTGCCCAGCAACACACCTGATCTTTCCTGGACTGTCCGAAACTAGGGGAGTGACCTCAGGTTAGAGACGCACCTGTACACACACCTGTGGACAGACTCCAGAAATGTATTATGTCCTTCTCACCCTCCGACCTCACCCTTTAACTAGAGCACCCAGGATCCCTTTTGAAGCTTTGAGAAACATTCCTCAGTGGGGCTACAGGCATGGGACACGGGTAGGAACCTGCTGGGGTCCAAGCTTCCTGCAGGCAGAAGTGTAACTGGGGCCCAGCTGAGTAAATAGCCCAGGCAGACAAAGAAGGAAGTGGGAAGGCATTGCAGAGTGAGGAAGTTGGGTGAGCAAGATGGAGAAGCCCAGAATAGCCTGCAAGTCCTGCGGCAAGGTTGGCAGGCGCCAGTGTGTGTATGTGTGTGTGTGTGGGAGGGCAAGAGCAGCTGGCAGAAACCTAAAGACAAGCAGACACACTGAGACTTTGTGCTGGGACCCATAGGCATCAGGGAAAGTTTCAAGCAGGAAGGGACATGGCCATACAGGGTTGATGTTTTATCCACATGCACTCTGGGGTAGGCAGAGTCATGGCTCCCCAAAGATGTCCACATCCTAATCCCAGAACCTGTGAATATGTTACATTTCATGACAGAAGACACTCTGCAGAGATGATTAAGTTAAGGGTCTTAGATTGGGGGCCTATTCTGGATGCTTCAGGTGGGCCCAATGTCATCACAAGGGTCTTGATAAGGAGGCAGCAGGATGAGGGTCAGAGAATGAGATGTGATGATGGAAACAGCCTGGAATATGTGCTTTGTAGATGGAGGAAGGAGCCATTAGCCAAGGAACGTAGGAAGCTTCCAGAAGTTGGAAAGAGCAGGGAACGGATTCTCCCCGACAGTCTGCCAACCTCTCGATTTCAGACTTCTGCCTCCAGAACTATGAGATAACAAATAGACATTACTTGTTACAGCAGCAGTCAGAAATTCACAGAGTTTAGGGGCACAAGCTCTGGAGTCCAGCTGCCTGGGTTCAAATCCCAGCTCTTACCAGCTAGCCCTTTAAGACAATGGTTCTCAACCTGTGGGTCGCGACCCCTTTGGCAGTCGAACGACCCTTTCACAGGGGTCGCCTAAGACCATCCTGCATATCAGATATTTACATTACGATTCATAACAGTAGCAACATTACAGTTATGAAATACCAACGAAAATAATTTTATGGTTGGGTCCCAACATGAGGAGCTGTATTTAAAGGGCCAGAAAGTTGAGAACCACTGAGCTAGCGGATCTCGGGCGAGTGCCAAAGCCCTCAGTTTCTTCATTCGTAACGTGGGGCTAGAAATAGCACCCATGGCATGTGAAATAAACCAGATGCATGAAATAGGCAAGATGCTGCCAGCTGTACCTCATGGAGACATTTGCTGCTAGCTGCACATCTTCATGCATTATACATTATAACTCTGCACAGGAATACGAGGGTGTGTTCTAGGCGGAAAGCCCCAGTGAATGTGATGTAGATGAACTGCAAGAGGTGAGTCTACAGCAGGGAAGCCAGGGAGCACAGGGTGAAGCGAGGAGATGGGCTCAGAGAGACATCTGAGGGGTCAGTGAGGGCTGGACACAGAGGGCGAAGGAGAAGAAGTAAGGGAGGACTCTGGCTGGGAGGCCTGTTGGGCTGCCAAATACATCAGGCAAGAGGGAGGAGGAGGAGGTATTACCAAAATTAAATATGTGTTTCAAGCACATCCAGCGGTCACTACGTGCGGGGTGCCACGCTGAGCATTCTGCTTGCCTGATGCCCTGGAGGGAGGTACATGATTGTGAATGTCCAGTGTACAGTTCAGGAACAGGCTGGGAGAAGTTAAAGCTAGAACCAAAATCTGCCCACCATGTCCTCCCAGGATGCCGGTCCCTGGTGCCCAGGCCTCTGCTGAGTGTTCATGAAAGCATGGGGGTAAGGAGCTATAAGGCAGACAGTTTAATTCAATCAGGTCAAGGTTACCTATGAGTTAATGAGTAATGAATAGGGTGTGTGGGGTGAGGGGAAGACCAGGCTGCACGGTGACAGGGGGAGGCCTGGGTGTGTGTTGAGGAGGGGACTAACTCTCAGAAAGCAGTGTAGAAAGGGCCCTTCTTGGAAATGGGGGACCAGGAGTGAAGGTGGCTTCTTGCTATTTCAAGACCTGGCAGTTCCTGTGGGGAAAGGGTGGGCTGCAGCAAGATCACTGCACCCAGGCAAGAAGGCGGGTCCCAGGCCTCCCCACTTTCTTCCTCTTCTCTCCTTGCATCCCAGCTAGTGTTGTCAGGCAAAATATAGGGCACCCACCTAAATTTATGTTTCAGGTAAATAACAGGTACTTTGCTAGTAAAAGTTCATCCTCACATGGCCACTTAGGTTGTCCAGGCAGCTGGGTTCCACCAGCCTTGGTGCCCAAATGCTGGGCCAGGTGGAAGTCCCCTCACAAGCCACCTTCCCTCCCCCTTCCCTTCCAGCTTATCTTGCCCACCATCCTCCTTCGAAACTTCACCCAAAGTCAGGAAGCCATCCTCCTGTCACCTCTGTCCTCCCAATGGGTGCCTCCTGCAATCCCCCTCCTTCTGGTTCAGGACTTCTCAGTTCCTTTAATTGTCTCAATAGCAGGGACTGTCATCCATCTCATCTCATCCTTCAGACGGATTCACTGAGGTGCTGAGAAAGGAGGAACCAGGTCTTGCAGGGAGACAGAGGCCAGGCCAGGAACTCCTCAAAGCTGTCCAACCACAAAGCCTGAAAGCTCAAGGCTCTAATAATATCGGGAAGTGGGGTGGGAGTTTGGGGGTACCAGGGGAGAGAATAAGGGCAGTATTGGGGGCTGGGGAACCCTAGCAGGCACCCCACCCCAGTTTCAGAAGTTCAATCCCAATTCTGGAGAATAAGCAGGTCTGTTTGTACTCCCTCCTCTTCTAAAGAAGGGGTGTCGCAATCGCAGCAGACAGAGGCCAGGTTTGTTCTGTTTCTCTGTGCCTCCCCCTCTCTGGCACAGCCGGGAACAGAGCAAGAGCGTGGTTTACAGGAACTCAGAACCAGTTCCTCTTCAGCGGGGCCTTAGGAAACCAGCCCTCCAGGAGTCAGGATGCCCACCCCACTGTGCCCAGACTTCACATACAGCCCGGACCCCAGATGCCCAACCTGGCTGGCAATCAGAGAGATGCATGTTAAAATGGCACTGAGCAAACATTCAAAGCTTTGCCACCATGATCTCATTGGGGGTTGGGGGGCGCAGTGGGGAAAACTGACAGTTTCCTGCAGGGTCAGCAAGTATGTAAATCAATACAATTACAGAAAGGAATTCAGTGCTATCTAGTAAGATTACCAATGCCTGTAGACTTTGATCTGTGTTATCTCCTTTCCTAACAAAACACGCCTGTAAAGTGGGGCAATGTGATAACCCCATTTCACATGGGGAAGCTGAGACGCAGGGTGGTTCTCAGGG